CATTGAAGAATCTTATTACCAGCGAAATGCATCAAAAATGTTTGACATCGTCAATCTGACGAAATTTCAATTTAATAAACGTAAGCGATCAAAATTGATAAGAAACTTCACTAACGTAGCAAGGAATACTAAAGTAATTATACACAACTGAACGTTGAATGCCTGTTAATCCCAAAATAATTGAATTCATAAACTCTTCCCTGCATTTACATAAAACCAACAGCAACAATTTAACAGTTCAAATAACAACAAAACGCTGTTACTCGCAACTAATTTGCAGATAAGGCAGCAACAAGATGCAGGGCAGTTCAACCATTACGCTGAAATCTATAATAGAAGCTATATACCAACACCTGTGCGTGGTGCTGCGACAAAGAGCATATGTCTCGGTCAAACCGCTGCTTTGTCGAGCCAATTTTGTTCTTTCTAGTAACATTTCAACGTCATTTAGGGATGTCAATAATCATGTATCATTTTCGAACTTACAAAGGACCCTTTATTGATGTCATACGTACACTTGTGAGCCACGTAAAAATGGGTAGATATGCTTTCACTCTATTTGCATATATTTAAATATCATGAAATCCATTTACTTCACAATTGTTGTTAAGAACATATGGCTCTGAAATGATATAAATAATAGATAAATTCGTTGTCTTATAGCATTTAAATGTGAACCTATTGCGAACTTATATATATGTCTGAGGAAGCTTATTGGTAAAAGACCTGGAACCTCTTAATTAACCGGCTCAAAAATGGTTCTTCATAATGTTATATAAAGTAAAGTATAACACAACCTCTAATTGGACAATATGCGTAACTCACATTCTAACTTACAATAGGGTACGTTTCAGACTTTAAGACCGTACATTTTTTATCTATATGACGTTGGTTTCTTAGCTCAAACGCGGTCAAAACCCAACATGCCAGACGACTTTGCAACCGAGCTCTGACGTCAGAGATCATTGCGATCGTCAGAGAAACCGGTGAGTTAATGAGAACGATTTTTTACAAGATGCCAGACCAACACCCTCTGGTGGATGACGCACAAGTTGGGGCAGCGTAAAGTTCAATTTAATTAAGATACGAGTGGAGGGGCTGATAGCGGCATCAGCGAAATAACATGCACAAAAAAATATATCAATTATATAAGTGATATAGTAATTTTATTGATAGACATAATATTCATTGATTTATTGATAAAACCATTCATATACAGTAATTGAATTATATCGAAGCGAAATAGGATTTAATGAGAAATTTCTAGAGAGACATAATATTTTTATTAATTAATTAAATGAATATATCAGAATTTTGATAAAAAATTAAATCGCGTCACCAGGATGAAAAGGACCATTACGGTGTACATGGTATCACAAATTTTATGCTAACCTTCGCTTACATTCAGAAAAAGGCGACATCATTGAGTAATTTGGAACGCGTTTATAATTATTTAATTAAACGTTCAGTTTCCAGTCCTGACAATATTTTTGAAAGATACAAGCCAGGTAAGAATTCGAAACCAGATCAGTCGCATATTTTATGATAATTACGACCGAAGTTTAGCGCTAGTTAAAGTTAAAGCTCAAAATTCAAGTACCTCTAGAAAATAAAAATGCGAGCGGTAATGCGATTTCTTCATTCAGAATGGAGAGGAAATTCTTAGATTCAATGTAGATTGGACTTGTTATAATACAATACATTCATGTATGAAATACTGAATCTATTATTTGGCTTCAATTATTATTGGTCCATTAGTGCCGTGCTCTCGCATCAGTGTTGGCCATGAATTTAACTTCTGTGTGGACATTTGGCAGAATTGCTGAATTAAGGTTTTGTTGGTCTGCTGTATTGAAATTTAATTGATTGATTTTGATAATATTTTGTTGTAGTAGATAATTGAGAAGTGTGGGATATTCATTCAATCTATTCAATGCGAATAATTCCGAAATAGTCGTTTTGATTTTAATAAATGATTGTCTGACTCAGCATGAGCACGATCGAAATATAATTATTTTCAGGAGAATACCGGTAATTGTTCCGCGAATTAATTACAAATATTGGCGACGGACGGCGATAAAATTCGAAATACTCGGTCCCAATTTCTCCCTTTGCAAATCTTTTACGGAGAAAATCTGATTTAGAATACCTGACAACCAACAGTAATTAGTACGAAACTTTATACAGTAAATTCCACAACAGCACCGAAATTAATGAGCAGCAATGTTGCAACAACACGCAATATATAGACCCAAAAAAGGTACCAGTAAAAAGATTGGCAATCTAAAACTCATATCATTGTATAATTCTTGAATCTGCAAACAATCTAACAATTCTGTCTTTATCCCAAGTTTTTTGGTCATTGTGATTTCTTCGTTGTGATTTCGATGCACATAATTGATTTGTTATAACCTAATTTACGGCCGTACCATGTATTAATGGATTTCGTTTCCATTAAAATCTTCATGGCTCACACCTTCAGCTGCAGAAACAAAAATATTTCAAGCACTCTACACTTGAAACGGCAAGCTAATTGCAAGCCATACTTGGATAACATACGAATTGTTTAGGTAATTATTATTATGTTTGAAAATCCCAAGTTAAGACGCTCCATCACAAGTGGGAAAACTTTGTCCCTGTTTGCATTCACGTAGGAATTAGTGAAGTAGTAACGATTTCTACAAGAAGCTGTCATTCAAATGTTGTCACTAAACGAAGTTTGACGAAAAAATTTCTACTCTCGACCAAAACTTCTTCCTTTATAATTTTAGTTTGTCTTTTATTGATCTTTGTTGACAGAAGAATAAGGCTAAGACTGTGGATCGTAGCCCCGTTGCCAGGAAGGCATGGTAACAGATGCGCGTGAATGTGGCGAAGCGCGTTGCGTGTACACTCTAATTTACGTACGTTAATCCATGTGTATGCAAGATAATGCATAACCATGCCTATTCATGGGGATTCTTGGACGCATAAGTAGAATACATGGATTGCATTCACTACGCTTAATTATTCTTTTGAAAGTAACAAGAAGTTGTCCAAGAAACATGAGCTCACAAGCAATGCTGAGCGGATAGAATAATTTATTCTAATTTTGCCTTTTATTTTACAGTACGTAACCTCATTTGCGTCTAAAAAGGTTAAATAATCTAAAGAAAAATAATCCCTTTCAAACTCGAAAGAAATTTCGCTGGCGGGTGTGAAAAAGCAATGTTAAAAATAATTGTCATGTCTTAAATTACCCTTAGCACATCGATAGATTTGAATTTTTGTAACGTTCAAATGAGAGGAACGATACAAGGGTGTCTCTCCAGCGATCAATATATAAAAGGCTATTAGAAAGGTTTAAGCGTGCAGTTACTGTATTTCGTTCCTGGAAGAGTATGGCGGCACAGTATTAATGATTCGTGACACAGTTGCATTTTCTACTGTAATGAAAAACTTGGTTAGGCTAAAAGAAGTGTTATTATGTTATTCTTGGTTAAAATTGCATGCAGTGGCGAGGACCGAGCCGAATTAGAAGGTCTGATTAGTCCAAAGTTAGGCGTATTTTATGTTGTAAAGATAAAACTTTACCCAAATAACGGTGTCTTTATTAATATTTACAAATTTACAAGCATTGATACTAATGCCTTCATACTTCACCAATACCGTCTATTTCAAGCACCAATGAACTTTGAGGCAACAATGAAAATGGACGTTGAATGAAACTGAAAGACGTTTATCAGGCATACGAGTTAATGAATGACGCTATAATCAATTCATACTTCATTTGTGGCCCAATCATGGCAGGATTCTACCATTTTGACGTCCTAATTCTATTCATAAAATTGTCCAGATTGGGGAACTTGTCGTGCATTACCAACTGGTTAATTGTTACCATACAATGTTAGTAACAATTAACCAGTTGGTTACCCACAATGTTGCTAACATTGTTACCGACAATGTTGGTACCAGTTAACCAGTTGGTTAGGTGATGCACGACAAGTTCCCCAGTCTGGACAATTTTATGAATAGAATTAGAACGTCAAGACTTAATTGTGGTCTAATTCATTTGTATGCTACCAGGGGTACGGCAACAAACAGAATGGTAAGAATTTGTATAGATAAATCAGTCTTACTACGTTTAACTGCACTACGTCCACATGAAGTTCACGATATTTAAACGAAAGTGCATTCGAATACTGGAGAAAAATGCGGCTTACTATCATGCAAAGCATTGTGGATATTTAGAGAAGCAATGCATGAACTGTTTTAGATGCACTTGGCATATGGGATCAAAAGACGTATAAAATCCCTGTTTAAATCTGACATATGTTCCTGTTTAAATCTGACAACAGCACGAGAAGTTTACAATCCATTCAAACGCTAGCACATTCGAACTGGAGACGAATGCCTCCTCATATCAGGTAAAGCAGCGTGGGCCGCGGATTTTCAGTGGGGTAATAGACTACTACACTTAGTACAGTTACACTCGGTACACTGGACACTTGGCGTATTGAATAGAATGACTTTGGAACAAAATTTTCTTTACTAATTCAATTGATATTATTAGACCGAGCAAATGACCATGCAAAATAAACATTAAATACCTGAACCCCACCTTGCAGAGTAAGGGACCAGTAGCCAAGGCAACCATGATAGAACAATTTCTGAGAAAATTTCACAGTAACCAGAAAGGTTAGGTAAATGCAAAATGTGATTCAACTGTTAAGCGGATTGGATGATGCTGTTAACGATGACAACAGGATCTAAATGATTAGCCTAATTAGGGACTTGATGGACTATACTCGTAGTCGTAGAACATGAGATGAATGATGCAGTTTTATCGATATTTGTGCAATTCATCAAGCAAGTCAAGAAGTCACGCCCTCGTCATGTAAGCTCGGAGCATGTCTCGTCGTTCCTAAATCGATAGTGGCCTTCCTGACCACAGTGACCAGTGACCACATAAAATTATATTCTTTATAAAAAGTTTTAACTTAAAAAATAGAAACACTCACATTTTGACCGTTGTTCGCAGGGTAGACAGCCGAATTTTTCCTCATCTTGTTCGTGTAGGTTCGACAGGACGATACCTAGAGGATGGCAAGCGTGTCTTACCTAATCAATCATCTTATCCGAAATAGAGAAGAAAACCTGAGGAATGAATGCATTATATCATTATCAATTATCATTATTTACGGTGGTCTTGTTGGGAGCCTTGACATGTTACTAATACATCGTACCTTAGTTATGTACATGTAAACCGAATGCAGATTAAGAACCAAGTTCCAAGCAAGGTAATCTAAGTTTTCAAAATGCAACAGTCGCACTCGCTCGTAAGTCAAATGATAATGGAAATGGTTGCTTGAAAATAAAAAGAGGCTTGCACCTAACTTATCTAGGTAGGCCTACCTAACAATTCGTAGCTATCTACCGCTTCGTAAAGCCGCTGGTACACCCAAAGTAATCATTGAAAATTTACGGTATACCTACCTAGGCCTCACAGTCAATTCGATTGGTGCAGATTTGATCACAAGTAGCCTAGCCCTATGATGCAACATCCACTAGAAATGTTAATCTTAAATCCAAATTCAGTCTTGAGATTACGCTACTTAGTGCCCGCAATCAATTCAAACTTAGATTATGCCACTACGGTGCTAGAAACCAACTTATTCTCTATTTAGCATCTAAGATTCACATTTTTGCCTTAAAAAAGCTTTCTCCGTGAAATACGCACAGCAGGGCTGCAATTATACCACAATTCAATGCCTATCTAGAATGATCGTTGAAGTCGATCTAAACTACCACTGCGCCAAGTCCGAATTTTCAAATATTTTATAAATCACGAGCAGTATCATCCATTCCAAGAGTCTTAATGCAAAGGCTGTCACAATCTGCAAAATTAGTTCGAGAGATGCCTTCAAGTTTCAATTTAGGAACTTTATATTACATCTACACCGGCCATCCACGCCGCCACGACACGCGGTGAACAGGCGTTTAGATGGACCGACGTCACCCCACACGACGACGCCTCGCTACCGACTAACCAACTTGCCGCCTGCTTCCAGACACTACAGCTGGAAGGTAAGTGCGCGGAATTTCGACCACTCGATGGTCACAAGTCAATGAGCCCGCGATCACGTGTTCAGTTTCGAACACGTGAGAGCTACGGGCTGCATCAAAACAAACTGGACGAGACCGCTAGTCAGACGAGAAGTAACATTAAAATTTGTCATTTAACATTGATTATAAAAATGTGTTCTCCCACTCCAAGCGAATTCGGCCTTGATATGCAGAAAAGGGACCTGAGGATGAGAGGCCTTTTAATTAAAAAACTTCTAGCGGAATTGAAAAGTGCAATGAAAAGTCGGATAATTGCACTTTAAGAGTCCAGGTAGATAAAGCGACTGCTAGAGAACAAAATAACAATAAATATCTGCAACATACTCTTAATTCATCTTAGAAGATACGAGTTACAGAGTACTTAGGAATCAATCATTTATATGAGAAATTTTAAAATAAGCAAACAAACGACGCTTAACACAGAGGCAGATAGCATGGGTTTGGTGTTTGTTGACGATACTCACTAGAATAACTATTTTGAAGAGTGTTTTTCCCACAGGAACTCCAAGGTCTTCAACCTCTGCCGCCGGATTATTGTAGAATTAGGGAATAAATCAGTTATCAAACGCAAGAAATTGCGTACTAATTTATGTAATTGTTATATTTCCGTTAGCGATAAACCTTATAGATAAGGCGAGAGTCAGCTTGTTCCCAATCCAAGAGTAGTGCGCTCTGGACCAAATTATTTTCGGTTTGTTGTGTCAGTTGAATAAAATTATTTTGGATTATAGTATCTTTTTATTTATTATTTTTCGGTATCCTACGATTTATTGTTGTGTATCCATGTTTCAGCTTTGTTGATAACGCGGAAGACTTCATGTGTATAGGTAGAAGCCGAGAAACCTTATAGATAAGGCGAGAGTCAGCTTGTTCCCAATCCAAGAGTAGTGTGCCCTGGACAAAATTATTTTCGGTTTGTTGTGTCAGTTGAATAAAATTATTTTGGATTATAGTATCTTTTTATTTATTATTTTTCGGTATCCTACGATTTATTGTTGTGTATCCATGTTTCAGCTTTGTTGATAACGCGGAAGACTTCATGTGTATAGGTAGAAGCCGAGACACTTCATCACACCTTCAAGGTTCATGAAGTAGAACAAAGGTCACGGTAGATACAAGGAGCCTTGCAGTACATAGCGGCTAATGTTTTTATGCCTAGAATTATCTCATGAGATGGCCGTATTGCAGAAATTGCAGAATGGTTTGTACCAGAAGTAATTACTTTATGAGCGAGACATTATGTATTTTTTGAGTGGTAATAATGTAATGTTAGCGTTTCGAGTGGATCAATTCAACTGAACTGGTCGGAATTGAATCATTTCTACAGCTGCAATTTGCGTACGTTTCAAATATATCATCATCTTTCCAATAACAACATTGAAAAGAAAAAGAATGAAAATAATTAAAATATGATCACAATATGGAATGCATTAGTAATGATTTGTTTGAAAAATGCACCGATATTGCTCAGTACCATAATAATAAAAATATAACTCAGTACTCACAGCAATGAGTGACAGAGAGCGCATTTTCTCGTCGACGAAAACTTGAGATCACGGACGGACGGACAGACAGACAAACGACATGGCGAGCACAATAGTGCATTTTTTCCATAAATGAGAAAATGCGCTAAAAATACCGTTGGAGATGAGAACAAATAATGCGTCCTATGTAGCTGGAAACTTAAAAAAATATATTCAACTTGGAAATAACTACAATTCCAGTAAACACGTCTCAAATAATAACTCTCGATAAATTTTACAAATTTTATAGGCTTCTTAATATATAGAGTTGTCTCGTTTACGCATTGTGTTCAACAAGCTAACAACGAATCTAACTTTATTTTTGTTAAATGTCGGTATTTTTCAGCTGCAACAAAATTGTTCAGTTTGTAATTTTTTGATCCCGATTTCTTGTACCCAACGTTAAATTTGAATCTAAAAGCGATTCAGAACCTTTGAGTTATTGAATTCCTGTGTAAAAAGAAACAAAATTTAACACACAAAATTTATATCGTGCACATTATTTAGACATAATGTCGTCAGTACATCCATAAATTAGTCATTAACCGCGCTTGTTTAAACAAGCGAAATCTGACATATAATACGAATTCCATAACGCGGTGTGCATAATGAATCACTATTATAATGAAGTAGACCAACAACATTAGTAGGCAACAAGGGGGTTTTCTTTAAGATATGCAATAAGGGGTTTTCTGTAAATCATATAATGACGCTCCGATCGGTCACCGCATACAAATAAAATAAATTTCCTATAGATTAGCAGGAGGACTCGGTATAGTACATTTTATAAGCTTTGTAAACACGCTTATATACTCGCACAAATATTTTATTTCATCCTGCACACTAATTGCTGCTGCGGACAAGTGTACTTTCAAAATTTAAATTGAGATGGCAAAGAGTAATTCTATGCGTCAATTATGGATTTTATTAGATTTCATTAAATTGATAAACTACCATAAATTGAACGACAAAATCACCCAATGTATTTCTATATCTATGATAATGGCACTTAGTTTGCAATTGCAGTATTCAAGGAACATGTGGTTCGTTGTGTTGACCGTGCCCAGAATATCTTTAATCCGACGTAAGCAATTGAACATAGTAAATTCCACTAAACGGAAAATTATTCGAAACAGGACGCCAATGTAGAATGTATCCTCTGTAGAATTTATTCTGTGTATGGAATTTTTAACTAATAAACAGCGACTAAAAATATACCGCTACATAAATTTAAGTGGTCATCGCTGTGATTATAGTAGTTGCCATATGGTGAGGTGATTAGGGATGATTATTATCATGTGGTGTAATTTGTCCTTCCCATGACAATTGGAGAGGTCACGATTAGGTTAGTAAATACAAAGCGAGAGCTAATTGATAAGCAGCTTCTGAACATAAGGCTATTTTAAAGCATGTACTTCTGTGGTCGTAAACTGGGCTTGGTCTTTGGGCAGTGGGCAATCGTATCCACTAAAACGAAGGTTGAGAAATGAATTAGAAAATATAATTTAAAGAAATATGTAAGGATGCAATCCGTTAAACATTAATTTACACTAAACAGAAATGAAATCATTTTCGGGTCATCACTCGTGGATCTAATTTTCCTACAATTAAATCGAAATGTATGTTATTTATTCATTAAGTTATTAACTTGAAATTTTATTTGCAACGGCTATTAAATCTAAAAATTAATCAACCTAGCTTGTATTTCGTTGAGCTGTTTCTTCCGTGTAAAGAAATAACTGTAAAATAAATATAGACCAAAGGAAATGCCAATCCGCATGCCTGACTGGAAAATAGTCGGGAGTATAACTCTTTTCACGCATCACATGATATAATAATATTGTAGCCAATAAACATGCATTAAATTAATACCAACGTTAACAGAGATGAATAAAGATATACAACCGAATGGTTCATGTAAAATACCTAGTCGATGGCGCTTATAATGAAATATGCCGGCTTATAAGTTGTTATATGCCGGTTACAAATAATGTTGGTACAAGTTAACTTTAGCGACCCTATTCCTGTTGTGACAATAGTTAGCATGAAGATGATTATTGTTATGAGTAATTAAATGTATCAAGCAATGTTTATAGTTTCAATCAGGCACTATATATATAAACTAGTACTAGCTAGACGATTACTCTATTTGGAGAGAGATACTTAAAATATATTTTATTTTGCCTACTCTTATTTTCAAATTGGCCATATTAGATGTGTTATAGTTTCATCACGGAGCGTCGATGTATTGTGCAGTCATGATAATTAGGATGGCTCTTGAGGATAATTTAACCAGAAGTGTTCAGTTTTTTTTCAATAAGAGGTACTTGGTACGAGATTAACTTGAATGCAATCACACTTTTTTCTAAATAGAAAACTACCGATGTCAGTGCAGCATTTCAACTCGATATATTGACTGCATTCACAGAATTTCAATAAATACGTATAAGTCAACATATAATTAAATTCGATGCTTTCCTTCCATTAAATCGCTCTGTTGCAC